CAGGATTAACATCATTATCACCAAATTGTGTATTATTTATAAACAATACATTAAGTAGACCTTGCTATGCAAGTGAAGATTAATTTCCACCATCGATCTGATTTAGCCAATTATTAATGCATAAATTTTATAGAGAGTAGAATTTCTGTGCGGTAAATGAAAAAGTGGAAGTCAAGGGAATCCGACATGAAAGGAGAATAAGAACTGTATAATGCATATCTCAGATTAGAATCATAATTTGCATTTCCACCGTTGAATATGTGCAGCACTCGCAGTTCCAACAAATATTGAACTTAGGCATTACTGAAAAAAGACATGGAAATTCCAAGTGAGATGCGATAATGGAGCTCACGGGGGAACTTGCACTTCTGTTAGAAGAGCAGTCCTTTTCTAACTTTTGGAGACATACCGGGAGAGGCATTGACCTACAGAGGTTAAACCTTGTTTGCGTGGCTAGGGGTCAGCCCTCATGAAAACGATTACTTGGTAACTTCCAAAAGACTTGGCTGACGTCATTGGCTACAAATGAGGAAAACTGCTGTTACAATCTTTAGATAAGTAGCAAGTGGGAAGACAACTCATAAAATGTTCATTAATTAAGGACATCTGAAGGTTCAGACCAAGTTCGGTCCGTCTTCAGAGTACAATGAGAGCTACTGTTATCACAATTTACTTTAAAACAGCGCTGTATTCAGATATAAATGTCAACTGCGTAATTGTTACAAGTGGCCAGCAGCAGAAAATAATTTCATATTTCATGTAACGCCATAGTATCATATCTTGATGAAAAATTTCGCCCCTTTCATTTGCAAGTTTGCGTGCGCAATCGTGACATCAGAATAAATCATAAAACCTGCTAAACCAAGTAGCTAAACACAGTTAGTTTGATTATCGGCTGCAAGTCTCGGTTCTGGAAAAGATGAAGCGCTGTCGGAGTATGCGATTGAATAATGTGAAGACCATGTAACGCTGAAATATTTCGCCCGGCTGTTGGTCTGGCTGAAATGCAGGGTTATCGTCGTGGGTAATAATACCAGAGATAATTCAGCTAGTTGCTATGCGTCTGCAAGTTGCAAGTTTCATGATCCATTTTAAAGACCTTGAAGAATTTCGCACTTTGACAAGAAAAAATTGGTATTTAGTAAATCAAGCAAATGAAGCAGAAAAGGCAGCATGCGGTGAAGGACTAATTGGAGATGAATAATAAATCCAAGGTGTTTCCATCCATGAATAGTAGCTTTATGAACTGAATGATGGTCATGGTCTTAGAACTGTTGTTAACAGCTGAAAAATTTCAACTTGGTTTTTGTACGATTAATTTTCATAATCACAGTGATCACTGTCAAAATTACAGAAATCCACAAGGCATCTAAATCTTAATTCCCACGTCCCTTGTCAACATGAAACCTAAAAACTTAAGGAACACGTTTTGCTTCCTTGCCGTTAGATTCATTTTAGTCGCTTCTTGCTGTACTGAGAAAGCAAACGTGTTCCCAGGTCGATTTTTCTTTTTGGCGTTTATACCATCGGTAAAACTGAATATATGTCATATGAAAGAGTTCGACGACTATTACTGTCCGGGGACCATTTTTCCTATAGATTTGCCTTTTATATCCTAACATTGGTTGACAAAGTCCGTTGACGTATCAACCTATTAATTAACACATGGCAATAATACATTATCATAATAATTCAGTTATCTTTTTTGTGATCATTACATAACGTCTTTTGAAATCATGAAACCTCCTCTGTTACTGGTCGCTGCATTCCAAACTTTGCAACTCATTTACTCTAAAGCAGAACTTAAAATAACTTGACAAGAACAGTTTTTCCCTGAACTCAGACAAGTCTCTATCTTGTTCGTCTGCACCACCATACATACGCCTCTGGATTTACACCGGCCGTGTTTTGGTTTCGCTCGAGAAGTTGGCCGGCTGAGTGAACGGTTTATATACGCAATTACTTTGCCTAAAATATGCGATTATTTTTTTAATCTCCACATCTGTTGAGGTTACCTGTTACAAGAAGAGAATTGGGTAGTTCCTGCTGTTTAACCCTCATTATGTGTCCAGACCAACTGCGCCTTGCGTTGTTTAAACAATCGTCTTTACCGGACGGCAAGATTGGCTTGACTCAGAAAAGATGCAGTCACCTTTCGAAAAACGGAATATTTGTTTACCAACGAAAACTGACGGAATTAAGTCATGCTATCGAAAGTAGCACTAGTACAGTCCTTAACACTGCAACATCTTGATCCTGGTGATAAGTGGTGGCTGTAGGTTCGTTACCAGAGTTCATCCGCACACTAAGCACTTCTCACGTTGAACGAGAGGCTGGTGTTTAATTAAGTGAATGATCATGAAGATAGATACTGCTTATAAATGGAGCTATATGTCATAAACAAAAATGAAGACATAATTATTGCCATATATTGTAGTGCTGATTGAGTAATGGTGATGTAGAGTAGAACATGATGCGTTGCTGTTTCATGACGACCCTGTTTTGTTTGCATCGTCCGAATCTGATCTACATCGTGCCTGGAAAGACTGGGAGCGATATACGACGTGGCCGGCGTGCGGGTGAACCAAAAGCTTAGTGCTTTCTTGTTCTGCTGCTCATTGCACTCTTCAGATGAACCGGTGATGGAAGATAGGAGGAAGAGGACGAACAGCGAATCAGATGACCAGGTTTATTTTGCCTCAATTATCCCAAACAGTAATCATTGAGGCAGTTGTGTATTTGGAACAGATGCTTAGTAAACGGACTACCCTTCTCTCGGTACTTTCGCCGTTTCGTTTTTCTCAGCGACGCTCTTTAGTTTTTCTTGAAGAATTCAGTCTAGGCGTTTGTCTCCAGCGATGAAATATTGATTGCACACCGTGTTGTTATTTCCATATAGGCTTTTCTATTATTCAAAGATGCATATTGCTTGATTTGGTGGCTGCCATGAATCAGGAGCTGAATCAGAAACAGTGTCGCAAAGTATAAAGTAAAGTAAACAATAGGAAAAATAGGCCATGTATAATTTTCTTAATTGCTATAAGCTGGATGAAGTGAAATTTTCTGGACCGTCGTTAATGGCTGCACTAGAATTAAATATATAAAGAATGAACAAATGAATAAATCATTGTGGTACGTTCTTCAGGAAAGATGACTCATTTTCTTGACTGTTCAAAGACGCTTCACTCTCTCTGCTGAAGACTTAAAACTTTACTACGGTACAAAAATTCATTTCGACAGCCTGGTTTTCATATGAAAGCGTGTCTTGCTTACAACAAAACTAAAGTAGAAAACGACGCTATGAAAATATGTCAAGAAAAAATTGCGTAGGGATTGGTTGCTGTGGAAATTGTGGTTAATACCAACTGTGAATAAGAATATTTGCGTTTTGCAACACATTAAAAGTAACAATATCAAATATAAATTTTCTCTCCCAACACCGAATTTACATGGCGGAAACTGCAAAGTAAAGTTGCTTACTGTACAGTGATATTGCGACCGTGAAAGACGCATATTAATCGCTGCACCAGGTCGACCCCCTGCATTGCGCC